ACAGCGGAGAACGTGTGTCTTGACCCGCTCAGCAACGCGCGAGCGAGACAGCGCGCAGTTCAGCCCTACCGCACCACCGGCTTTTCACCGCCTTCAAGTTATGATGCCAAGACATTAGGGGGAGAGAGCGTAAATGAGTCGGAAGCTATATTAGAAAACTCGATCACACCAGCCTAACTCGCCACCAGCGAGCTGTGTGGGCCGGGGGAGAGCAGGCAGGGGACGGGGCTGTCAGGGGGGAGCACAGGGGGTTTGCATGGAGGGCGCTGCCCTCTCCTGGGCACAGCCCACAGCGCTCAGCTGAATGCCACGCTCCTGCCCTGCTAACGCTGAATTTGGGCTTTACCCCTCGCGGGTGGCAAGAGCAAGAGCCCGTAACGCAGCCGTGTGGGTGCCTCCTCTGTCAGCTCGGTGGCAGCGGTGGAGTTCCCAGGCCGGGGAAGCTTGCGGTAAAGCAGAGGCCGAAGCTGCCTGCGGCAGGGAGGGAGTCGGTGGTTTTCACCACCCCCTGCCCACGCCCGGCAGCGAGGGCAGGCAGGGAGCTCCGAACGGAACGCCGGGGGGGAGGCAGATCCCCAGGGAGTGGGACTGGAAGGAAAGAGCACAGAAACAAAGGGAGAGGCCGTGGCCGTGCAGCACAGCTGGAGTGTGTACGACCCTTCCCGAATCCGGGGGGGGGGGGAATCACAGAGCATCCCTCTTGCTGCTCTGCCTGAGCAGGCTCACAAATCACCCAGACATCCCTAAGCAGCAGCTTCCTGCAATTAGGAGCAGCAGAACACATGTGCCAATTAGCTGCGCACCAATATCCTCTTCGGCCCTTGATCTAGGCCAGACCTCAGCCCCGGGGTGCAGCAGAGCCAGGCTGCTTCCTCCGAGATCCCGGAGATGGGCAGGAGCATCCCCTGGCTGTGGGCCAGGCGGGCTCTCCTCCCCTGCCGCGGGGGGGACGCAGGGACCCAGCCCCCTGGGTGCCTGCACTTGGGTGGGGGATCTCAGCCAGAGAGAAGCCAGAGGTGTGGTGGACACAGGAGAGCAGCGACGGCTGCTCCCGTCCTGTGCAAGCTGCCAGGCTACCAAAAAATCTTAATTCTGTACCGGTCGAGGGCTGCACTTGGGTCATGGGAGACCTCACCTCCACTGGGTTACTGAGAGAGACCAGGCAGGACAGCCAGGCTCTGCGGGACAAGCAGCTCTGCCTGGTTCTCAGACACTTCTCTTCACCCTGTGTCTTCAGGACGTTTGTTTCCTCCAGGCTAAGTGCCTGGCACTCGCTGCAGACGAGGTCAGCGCTGTCCTGCCAGCGGATGTTATTTCGTTAATGCAGCGCTGCTGCCCACAAACCATCCCGGGAACCGTTTGAGCCAACCCAAGTCCCTGCCCAGGGCTACAGCTGCAGGAGGACTCGGTGGGCAGCCAGCAAAGGTGCCTCTCGGGGACCAGTCACACGCTCGTTTGTTAACACGCCAGGGAATTCAACGCCGCTAGAGAGCTCCCGAGTGATGCCACGGCACAACCCCAACAGAGGAAGGCACGGTCAATGTCAAGAAGAGCGCTGGAGGCCTGCTGCCTGTGGGACATGTCTGCCCCAGGAGCTGCGCCTTGGGATGCCTGCCCAAACAGGACCAAGCGCCGCGTCACGGCGGGTGAGCAGGATGAGCCCACCCCTTCCCCAAGTGCTGGCAGAGCTTTCCGGCCTTCCCACCCCTCGGCAGCACTGTCCTCTCACACTTCTCTCAAGCCCACTCACCTGTTGACTTCCGAAACGTTGTTGACCTTCGCGGCTTCCAGCAGAGCATCTTCTGAAAAGAGAGGAAGAAGAGAAAGCGAGTTAGCAGCAAACCACACTTACACACGTAATAACCCGGAGGGGGCAGGGGCCACTGCAGCAGAGAAGGCAGGGCCTGTGCTTGCAGCTCGTATCAAACGCCACAGGTTAGGAAGGGTCTGTTTCTGCGAGGTTACCCCCAAATCCCTCTCCTGCTTGACAGCTTTCCACAGCCTTCCCCGCGAGGCTCTGGGGAAAGCAGGGCCCCCCAGCCGTTCCCAAAACGCAGGCACCAGCAGAGACGGGGGAACCTGCACGCAGGCTGAATCCCCGGCCTGGCTGCGCGAGTCCCTTCCTCGCTTCTCCCAGCCCAAAGGCTGCTGCTCAGCCAGCAGAAACAGCAGCTCCCCGTCTGCCGCATCGCAGCACGAGAGATCCCCCGGGCAGCACCTCCGCGGACACAGCCAGGGGTGTGAATCGCTCCTCTCTGGGAGGCCACGCTCTCCCAGCCTGCCGGAGGTCACCCGGGTCTGTAGGAAACCTCTGCGGGCGTTTGCCCGTCTCTGGCTTGGAAGGTGCCACGGGATGGGCCTGGCAAAAGGCTGGAGCGGAGGGGAAAGGACCTGGGGGCGAGCCACC